CGGCAGTGACGTGCGTGTTTATGAGTCGGGGCACAACCGCGTCATTGTGCGAGCGGAAAACGAACCTCCAGTTTGGTTGAAGCGCTCTTTCGCGATTTCAATGTTGACTTTAGCGATTTCAATGTTGACTTTGAACCACTGCTCATTGCTGATACTGCCGCGCAGCTCTCGCTCCCACAAGTCTGGATCCTCTGCTGCGATTTTGTTCACCCAGTCCAGTTTGGCTTTCGTTTTCCGGCTGTTGCTGTCAAACTGCAAAATCTGAACGCCGTCAACATACATGACCTCCAAGTACTCTGGCAGCTTTGCGATTTGAGAGGACGCTGTGATGAAATAACTCCGCATATGTAGCGCTGAAAGAAAAGACAAGAAAATGAGCCCCATTTTATTCTTTTGCTTTCCATTCGGCAGCCTCGCACACTGCGTGGTTGACATGATTCCATCCGCTCTCGGGGCCTCGACACTCTGGAAATGATTGACGCCATGTTTAATAGAAGCACATTCTTTCTCACAAAGCTTCTCAGTGATATGACAACCCGACACTCATAGTTTTCTCTTTTTGATTTCTTCAAAGATGTTGAATGCCCCTCACCGTTGGTTGAAACACACTTACAAAAGAAATCAAATGACCTTACAAGGGTCACACAGCAAACACCACCAAAAAAAAAAAAAAAAAAAAAAAACCTCGAAAGTTATCGACTATCCACGCATGAAATTCAAGGTAGGCTGTACAGTGCGTTTTTCCGATGATGATGATTTTTAATAAATGCAATCATACCGGATCGAGATGAAAAGAGTTCACGTACTTTTCAACGGTGATTCTCAAAGTTTGACGTGATGACCATTCGCAAGCTCTTAAGAATGATGAGGCAAAAGAAACATGACATTCGATTTCAAATAGAGCAGGGGTGGGCAAACTTTTTGGCTCGGGGGCGACATTGACTTTTCAAATTTGACATGTGGGCCGGGTCAGCACAAGATACGGTACATTTATTTAAAAAAAAACAAAAAACAAAAAACTGCATTTGTTGACGGTTCCTATCAAACATGAACAGAACAAAGGAATTAAAGTATGAATCTAATTTTTTTTCATGAAAAACAGTGTTGTTGATCACCTATTTCAGCCATTGCATTGCTGCAGACGGGTTGTGGTCTGACCAGTAGAAGTAGAGCGATACACTGAGTATTTTTGAGTCACGAATCATATTTGCGGTGTCCAATCTTTCCTTAGAACGGAGTTTCCATATGTGGGATACGACTATGGTACATGTCCTTTATGAACATGCAAGTATGTTACCAACATACACGTGTGACAACACAAACAACAAATTGCAACATATGTTGCCCAAAAACTGTTTCTAACACAAAAACTGCAGCATACAGTACAGGTATGTGAACCAAATAGCCCGAACAAAGTTTGCTGCAAAATGCAAAATGAGACGCGTAAGAGACCTGGTGGCTTTTCTTTCCACTCACTCGCTGTCTCAAACTTGACCTCCCCTCGATCGCCACCCACGACAGCGTTGCTCAGCTGATGTCGTGCAACCAACATCTAAAGCCAGCCACGGGACGCTTCGAAGTCCTCCATGGCCATAGTTTGCGCCATGGAGCTCACATTCTCCAGATTTAGCAGTGCAGTTAGCGGAAGGTTTTTCGCACCAAAACAGGTAAAGCATTCGAGGAAACATTCATTGACTTGACTCTCCGTTGAGCCGCAAGCGATTCACTTTAGCAGGGAAATTGGCAGAATTTTCAAAGTCTTGTCGATTTGAGTCTTTGCGACTCAAAGCGACTCCTGAATGTTTTGTATGATGTAACCCGCTTGGCTTTATCGGGTGGGTTTCACTTTCTCTTCCACGGTCATGACCGGTCCTCTTCGTTGACATGCCATGATCTACAGCAGTGTCTTTTTCCAGCCAAGGCACATTTCTGAAAAAATCCCGCGGCACACCACTAGCTGAAAATGTGAAAAAAAGGCTTATTTTAACAATTAGTGTTATGTTGTGATTATAAGAGGGGTTTTTTTTACATTGAAGAATAACTTTATATTATAACACCTTGAAAAGGAATCAAATCGACATCAATCCTTTATTTGATAATCTTTCATATTTATTCTCACTCAGTGTGATAAAAGGTTTAGATGACCCAGATTTTATATCCTGGCAGATCACAGATCATGTATCGAATCGATACATGTAAAACTTCCCTTCGAGTCAAACGCACGGTACGTTGTCAACTATTAAAGTACATTTGTTGTTTCGCAAATTTCTCCATTGTGGGACAAATAAAGGTCTTCTTATCTTAACTTTCATGTGCAGCACATTTGCATGAAAGCATTAATTGAGGACGTTCATTTATTTAGGTTCCTACATTTCAGCGCCCTGTGAATCAAGCGGTGCATACCCTTTCAATGGCTGGCTGACAATAATAGGAGTGTAGTTTTTCGAAATAAAACCGCTGCCCCTTGTTTGATGAACATTAAGGCCGAACACACGACTCCATTTTCATGTCAGGCCAAGTGGTGGTGCGGTGTGAACTTCATACTTTTTTCCCCCCAAAGTTTGTACAGGACAAAAAGTTTGAGAGCCTCTGCTTCAAACCATTGCAACTGGAACACAATCAAAACCTGGGTTTAGACATCGGATATTTCAAGAAGTGAAAATGACAAAAAGTTTATGTATCATATATATATAAAAGTATGAAAGTATAAATTGTTGAAATGTTGACACCGAATGAGGAAGTTTAATTCCCGCCCCACCATGCTGAACAGACGAAATAAAAAAACGACGGGCAGATTTACATGCAACGTTGAAACTAATTTTTTTCTGCTCAACTACTGACGCATATAAATAACATTTCATGACCGTGGGTTCGCCTTTCCATATTTAATCGATAACATATTTATGCTGGAAATGAAATGTTGAGGCAGCGGACGCGCGAAGAGAATAAAGTCGGTTCACAATCTTTCGCGCAAGCAACCAAGTTGCCAACAAAGTGCACTTACCAGGCGTCACGTTGAGTGTTTGCAGAGCTGCAACAAAAAGGACGAGTAGATACATTCTCGTCATCCAAAGTTTTGTGCAGAAGGACAAGTAGGGAGAAGTTGCGACTGTCTGTCACCCCGGCGCACGCGAGATAACAGCCGAGGGGGGACGCGCTTGGACCAGTTCACCTCCTGAACCAATCAGAATTCGGGCTGCCGGTGACGTCACTCGGTCCTTTTTTTTTTCTTTTTTTTTTTCTCCATTTCCAGAAAACATTTTCGGCCCGATTTTAAATGAAATTGCCTACGTCGTTTTGCGTACTTGCTGAAACGACAGCAACTGTGTTTGTGTGTGTTAGAAAACATTGTTTGTGGGACTATGTGCTGAAACAGCGACATTCTCCTGGTAGTGAGGGGTAATTGCAACAAGGAAGCGCTCCTTTGCTTTTCTCTGAAATCACGTGTGCGTGTGTGTGCGCGTGTGTGCGTGCGCGTGTGTGTTTGTGTGTGCGTGTGTGTGTGTGTGTGTGTGTGTGTGTGAGTGTGTGAGTGTGTGTGTACGAAATCAAACAGAAACCTGTCGCTTTGCATACAGCCTGCTTTCAAAAACAAAGTGCATCTTCTAAGAACAGTTCAACTGCATTTCACAGTCCAACATTTATATTTCATTCAGACATTCAATGATTCAACAGCTTGATGAGAAAAAGAAGACATTTTCATGAAGCAACCCTGGTGGGGTTTATACAATCCAATACGACTCTAAGACCAAGACTGACAGAAGAAAGCAATCCAAGGCACTCCTCAAATCTAACCTTGTACAGTACACAAAAAATAGAAACAAATTTTGAGCGTTGCAAAAATATGATCACACTAATCACCCATGTGAAGAATAAATTACATTTGTTTTAAAATCCAAGCTCCTGTCTGTTTTCAAATACTATCTCCTATGTTCTGACACCTGGAGGAAGCAGAGCACAGCAAATGCACAAAACCATGGTACCGAAATCATCTCCAGAAACCCAAGATCTCATGGCGTCCATATGAACTAACTCATCCTGTGGCGCTCGGAAACGGGCTCAGTCAAAACTTGGAATCAACCTCCGAATCAGGCAATGGCTGAGGGAGCAAAACACAATGTGAGATTGGGGGTTGGGGGGGGGGGGCAGTCACACGCATGAAGGAAGTTCATTTGCTCAAGCAAGGTACTCTCAGTTGAATGGATCTTGCAAAGATGTAAAAGACATCCTCACGCTCTTTTGCCTTTAAAAATTAATTCCAGGTAGTCACTGTATTACACAGTAAGGTACCACGTTATACGGGTGACCTGACTTCAGAATTTTTCAAGATATAAGTCATTGTTTAACAGATTTTTTTGTTTGTTTGTTTTTTTGCTTTACTGTGAGCGCAGACTAAAAATACGAGCGCGAGCATGACGTCAGTGAGAAAGCAGTTCGGATGTCTCAATGAATTGTATTATACTGCCCTCCGGTGGCCAAGGTCAGCACACCAGAAGCAGCAGTACAATGACGATTCAGTTGATGCAGGGAGGAAAATAAAACCTG